CAAGGACCACCCACCCGAAGAGAGATAACATCGCTATAGGGGAGTCTGATGGCCCCTTGATGATTTGCGGCTCCACAATCGATCCAAAGAAATCTGCGCCAATGAGAAGGTCGATAGGTCTTGACGTCAGATAATCTGGATCAGCCAACTGCAGTCCTCTGAGATGATCCCAAGGTTGAGGCTGAGAGACTGAGAAAGAAGGCAATGAAGACGTGAGATGATCGAGTATGTAGGCCTTGACAAGAATCTGATTTCTCGAATGCAGAGACTTGAGATAGAATTGAGAGAAACCATTAGATGAAGACTTGGATCCACTAATACCAACAACCGGAAGCATGGCTGGAGAGACCGTTAAGCCGAGCTTCCTCACAAGGTCATTTGTAGCAAACGTCAGCTCAGAACCAGTATCCAACAGCATCCTAACTTCGTGAGAAGAACCATCGTCCAAGACGAGCGAGGCTAGGGCTGTGGCGAGAAAAACACCTGGTCTGAGCTGTGGAGAGATATCACGATTAATCGATGCTACAAACGGAGGTTCTTCCACCAGAGTCGGCCGTAGAGAAGGATCATAGAACGGCGACGACTCTGGCGCAGGCGTTGGTATAGCATATCACTGTTGAGACATGTCAGGCCTTGAGGAAGTGGACTGTATTGGTTGGTTGGGCTGAGACACCTGCGATGTGTGAGGAACCTGTTGAGTTGGCCGAGGCTGAGACGATCCTTGGGGTGTCGATTGAGGACGAGCCACATGAATCATCGAATGATGATTCTGACGACACACGACACAGGTCTTGCTGAGGCTCCGACAATTCTCCCTATTATGTCTCCCCAGACAATTGAAGCACCGACGTTTGAGAACGACAAAAGATCTCCTCTCTGTGGGAGATAACGCCTTGAACTTCGGACATTTGTCGAGAGAATGTTCATCCTCACACATCGGACAGGCATGGAAGCACATTTCCGCCCAATCCTGAGTTTGAGACACCTGAGCAGGTCGAGCCGTGCTGCTGTTAGAGGGTTTCACCGAGGCAGGCTGCGAGGTTGGACCAGCGGAGACGTTGAGCACCTTGGTTGGCTGGACTCCATGACCAGGTGGGTACACCTTGACTGGCCTGAGCTTCGATGCCTGTTGAGAACTGGTCGAGATAGATCGAGAGTTGGCTGGTTGAGGTGGCGGAGCATGCATCTCGATCCTTTCCCTGGCCCTGGCCCTGCTGAGGACGAATTCCTTGAGCGCTGCGTAAGTGGGGAATTCCGTCGACGAGCCTATTTCAATCTCCCAATCCTCCAGCGTCTTGGAATCCAGCCGACTCGTCACTAAGTGGACAAGCATGTCATCCCACTGCTTGACAGGACGACCGAGAGACTCCAAAGCATTCAACGCTTCAGCTACAGAGTTGAGAAGTGCGTTGTATTCCCTGGCTGAGCGGTTGATGACTTTTGGAGCAGAGAAAAGCTTCTCCAACTGGGTAGAGATGAGCAACCTCTCGTTGTCGTACCTGGCCAAGAGAGTGTTCCAAGCTGGCATGAAGGAGTCTTGGGTCACTGGCAAGGTAGAGATGAGCTGCTTAGCCTCGCCAGTGAGAGAAGTGAGAAGATAATGCAACTTCTCGACGGTAGAGAGATTGTGATTGCCAACGACCATGGACAGGAATAAATCCTTGTATGGAGTCCAATCCGAAAAGTCTCCTGAGAAGGTCGGCAGTGAGATCTTCGGCAGCTGCCTCTGAGACACCTGAGCAGTGGAAGCCGTCGTGCTAGGCCTACGATGAAAGGACTCTGAGAGATCCACGCTCTCATCCAAGGCCTTGATGAGTCCAATGAATGTGGTCCTGGCTGAGGAGTAATATTGAAGACACTGATCATAGACCTGCCGTTTCACATACTCATGTTCGAGAACTTCCGCCGAATCCTTTCCAGAAAGCAGCTTCAAATGCTGCTCTTCAAACTGGCCCCAATAGGTCTCGAGAATGTCCAGCTTCGATTGCAGCTCCGTAACCGATAGCTGTCTGACCGGCTCTGAAACCGATTCCACCTTCAAGGACTCTATAAACTTCGCTCTGCTGGCCTGGATCATGATTCTCCCTGCGAAAGACATGATTCGAAAAAAGGCAAGCTGAAACCCAGCAAAACCAAAGCAGAAGCAGAAGCAAGAGTTGAGAAGAATTAGAGCCAATCAGCACCGCTAGAGAAAAGCCAAAAAACAGTCGGAGAAATTGCCAGAGCACGCGACAATAAATGCTGTAGGAAAAACACGCGAAGCAGCAATAAATACAGCAGCAGCAACACCGACAGGAGAAAATCAATAAAAAATTAATAAAATATTAATATTGACTTCCCTGAGAGAAGGTCTGGTGGCTGCAGAGAAGTTCCGACGGCTGAGTTGTAGGCCTAAAATTCACGTGCCGAGCGTGGAGTCTGTCAGTTCCTTTGAGAGTGGGCGTGGCCTAATGGGTGGAGTCTCGCAGAAGTAGAGATGGGCGGAGCGGTAGGCGGCACGTTGAGAAGGCGATGGGCGGAGCAATTGACAGGGCGGTGAGCAGAGCGATCGAGTGTTGGCGTCACCGCTGAGTTTCGCGCCTTTTTCGAGGGATGCACTCACAAAACTCAATTTCCAGTTTTTTCCAAAAAAAACACTCACTTAACCACGTAATCCGGCTCGAAGGACCAATATTACGGCGAGAACGTCAAAAAAAAACCGTAGAGCACTGGGATGTGGTTAAGGAGAGGTTTCGAGAGAAATAATTATGACGCGAGACGCACTGGTTTTGTCACTGAGAAATTTATATATATTTCGAGTCTTATAAATGTCAAGTAAATAAATATATGAGTCAAAATAACCGCGAGCAAACACTTAATTGATTGAACACGGTAGAGAATGAGATTGAATCGAGATTCACACGATAATTAACAAGTAATTATGGAGCGTTAGAGAACGACGTTATACAGAGAACTCCCAAAATCGAGATAAGAACATAATAATAATTATTAGAGAGGTAGGTCAGTGCCACAGGTGCGTAATTAGGGCACCTATATAATCGCACGGTCGGTTAACCAGAGACGGTCCAGGAGGTGCTGCCACCCCGTGGCCCGAT